AGGCTCCGACTCCACGTACGCCCATGGCAACGGTTACCAGGAGACGGGAGGCGGTCACCATAGAGACGGGATGCTGTACCTGGGCGCCAGGGCCTCGCTGGCCGACGCGCTGCCCCTCCACATCGCACCGCGGTGGTTCAGCTCGCACAGCGGTGAGTGCCGGCTCCCCGGAGCCTTCCCCCGGCTTCCCCTTCCCTCGGTGGGTACCCGGGCCCGGGGGCGGCGGTGCGCACAGTTCACCCGGCAAGGGAGTGCTGGGAAGGGGGGGCTGGGGCGGGCTGTCCCCACTTGGCCGGCTGGGCAAGCTCTGTCGTGCCAAGCCTGAAGGAAGAACCCCTTCCATCCCCTCCCCGGCATGGACAGGGTGGGTGAGCACCGGGGCTGGCATCTGTGTCAAGGTCAAGGGAGGAAGGGGCTGGGGAGGAGGCTTGCTAGGAGGGAGGTGTTTTGGCTCTGGGATGCAAAGCAGTAGATGTGGCACCCTCCCCTTTGGACCTGGAGGAAAGTGGGCTGAGAGTGCTGTAGGTCAAGCCCTTGGTTTTGAAGGGGCTCCTCATGCCTCTTTGGAAGGTGTTTGGGGGGTGCTGGTCAGGTATAGCCATTCCCATGCCTTAGAAACTGGGAAAGGGGGAGAGGAAGCCTTTGAAAGTAAGGTGTGGGAATTTTTTTCCTTTGTTTTGTCTGATAAAGGGCCAGGGAGAGGCCAAAGTGGGTTTTCTCTTTCAAGCCAACTGGCACCATTGTGGTGCTGGGGAGGAAGCAGAGGAGGAGCTGCCTGCCTCTTCAACAAGGCTGGGATCTCTTGCAGGAAATGTGTAGGGCTAAGGGAGGAGGCAAAGTTGCCCCCATCCTCACCCTCCTGGTTGGACCTTTCAGTGCATCCTGGTGTCTGGAGAGGAGCTCTGGCTGCGAGCTGTGTCACTGACCTAGTTTTGGCTGGGTGCAGGGAGTGAGGTGGGAGGTCCTCCCTTCCCCACCTGGCTAGAGGGGAAGTCATTTCAGGGATGTCTTCTTGTGTTTCCTGGAATAGTCTGGGTTTTCTCTCCCACCCAGCCCCCTTGCAAACGCTGTAAGCGTTCTCCTTGCATGACGTGGTCTGGGAATTTCATAATCTGCCTTGGGACAATGCCTCATTTTTAGGAAGGCTTGAAACTGAAACAGTGGACAAGAACAAAGTGCAAAACGAGGCTCATGGGGCCCATTTTCCTGCTTCCATGTTGGGATTTTTCCCTTTTACCCAGTTTCCAAGGGCTGCTCTTCTCAGTTAGATCAAAGCTGGATGTCTTGCATTGCGTCCTCAGTGGCAGAGCGCCCCGGGCCCCGTTCCTATTGATCTGGGTAGGCCGTGCACTTGCAATCTTTCCTGGCAGATGGAGACGGATGGCTGGCATGTGGCGCTGGAGCTGAGACCGAGCGCTTCGGCAAACTTTCTTACTCTGTGACCTCGCGCAGACTGTGCCGCTGCTCTGTTTTTTAAACACAGAAGGAAAGGAAGGTGCGGCATCCTTCCAGGTATTCTGCAAGCAAATGGGTGCCACAGGGCCTTCTGCTGTGTTTGGTGCTGGAGCGAGGAGGGTTTTGTTACAGAAACACCCTGTAGCTAATCTGTACGTAGAGCTGGTCAGTCAGAGAATATCAGTTGCACTAAATGATCGTTCTCAAACTGCTGCACTGAGAGGCAAAAAACTGTTCATAAAAATAAACCAGGTGCAAAATGGAGTAAGCTTTTTCTGGCTGCTCGAGCGAGTTAGTGCGATGCTGGTAAGTTAAAGCCGATGCCCTTGGAAGATTGCAGCACAAGCTGTGGGAAGTGCTGCAAGAACTGGGTTTCTCTGGTGCCTCTTTTGGGGCCCTCTGAGAACATTTGAGCTGTGCCGAAGCATGCGCGGGCAGCAGCGAGCTGTTCAGTCCGTGCCAAAGCCTCTCCCGGTGGTGGTTGTTCCTCATCGCTAATTAATAGCAAAAGGAGCAGGGGATGCTTAAAAACTGTTCTGAAAACTTGTCAGAGCTCATTAAACTTTTGTGTTCTTCCTCTTAGTGTAAGAGGTTAATGGAGGACTTAGAGACCAAGGGGAAGGGGAAGTAAGCCACTTCAAGACTGATAAAACTCCTGCTAATCTCCCATTGCAGCTGGTTAACCTACAGCAGGGCAGTCAGGAGCTACTCGCTTCTTCCCCCCCCTGCCTCCCCATCGACCCGCTCCTCTTGCAGCACTGAGCCACTCCACTAGCTACTGGAAAGTGCTGAAGCAGCAGCGTTCCGGTAAATGGAGAGGAGCTTTGACATTGTTGCGCATGACTGTCCCTGCTCTTTTGGAAGGATGACTTGAGGGTGGGGATGAAAGGACCTGCGAACGCACCCAACCCACTCAGGAGCATGTGTGCCTGGGGGTCTCAGGGATCTGCCTGAGTTGCTGTACTGCTGCAAGGAGAGGAGCCCCCCAAACTCTGTGGGTAACAGGTCTGCAGAGTGGATCCTTGCCCTGCCTGCTCTCTCCTCCTGCCTCTGCACAGGCTGGAGACCTGGATGGTACTGATCTCGGCACATAGGGAGAGTTGTGTTCATAGGCTTGCTCTTCCAGGAGTACTTGGGTTTGGGGGAAGAGCTGGGAGCCTCAAAGTGCAGCCTGGGCTCTGTGGGGACCTCAGTGGGACAGCAAGGAGCCCTGGCTTAATGCTGGTGATAAGGTGCTGTCATTGTGGCGGCACATCTGCGATAACGGGAGCATGCAGACAGGCTTGGTGCCTCGCCACTCCCTTTATCTGCCATGCTGATCTTGTGCACCTCTCTGGCTGCTTCATGGCTCATCTGGCCCATCAGCAGGGACCCCAAGGAGTGAGCTGGGGTGGGCTGAGCTCTCTTTGCCCTCGCTGGTGTCACTCCTTCCCCTCTCTGCAGTCAAAGGCTTGCAGAAGAGCCAGGTGTGCCCAGGGACGGAGAGAGGAGAGCTGCACTAGGAAGCCTGTGCAGAGGGCGGTTGTGAAGTGGTCCCCAGGGCCAGCATATGCTGCAGCATCACTGTAGGGTGCTGTGCATCATGACAGTTGGCAAGAAGAGCCCACTGCTGAATTCCTCCAGGCTCTGCCATGGCTGCTGGGGTGCAGGGACGGCAGGAGCGGTTATGTACTGATGGCCTCTAGCCCTTCCAGGGCCAGGGGAGGAAAGCTGCTGCTCTTATGAACAGCAAAGCCTAAATGCAGCTTTCAAATGGGTGAGGGGGCTCTGACCTTTGTGGTGGAGCTTGTCCCTCCCTCTAAGGGGACAGCATCTCCCTGGGTAAGTGAATCCCGTTTCCTGACAGGATTTTCCAAGGCGCGTCTGCCATCCACGTGAGCAACGTCACTGCTCCAGCTCCACCTGCAACCGCTCTGGAATTTCCCTGTCTGCCCAGGATTTCTGAGATCCGCTTCCTGACCTACACGGGTAGAAGATGACAAAACATGTTTTGCAACTTTGGAGTTTGCTTGTAGCACTTGACCCTGTTGCTGTAGCTTCATGACCATTAGGACTTCTCAGCAAAGCCAAGGCTAGCGGGAAGAAGAGAGAAAAAGGAGATGTGTGGTTTAATACTGCATGTCTCCAGCTTTGTGTGGTTCTCTTAGTATTGCTCATGTTGTTCATTTTCATCAGAGGATCTTGGGGAGTTTGCAGAGGCTGTAAGTAGCTTAAAGTTTATCTGGAAATCCCCCTCATCACCCAAAGCCCTTGAGTGTTTGAGGCCCCAGTAAATCCATATCTCCTTGTCTACTGGCTAGCCCAAGGAAATGCCTAGCTCATCCTTCTGTGCGGTGCCATTGGGAATGTCACAGGCTTTCTGTGCACCGACAAAACAAGCTGTTTGTCCTGGATGCTGACAGCAGCAAGGCTGGGAGGTCTCCTTTACTGAGTGAGCTGCTGTGTTCTCAGCAGCACCTTGCCCAGAGCAGGAGGGCCCAGCTTAGGTGTCCAGCACACAGATGGCTAGGCTAGGTCCTTTCCCAGGCAGGGCTAGAGAGTGAACCAAGCTGGAAGTGCTCTTTAATCTGGCTCTGGAGTAAGGGATGTGAAACAGGGACCGCTTGGAGGATGAGCTGGAGGTGCATGTGAATACCTGCTTTGGGTCTCTGCCTAGCTGGGAAGAGGCATGTCTATGGTGTACCCTTGCTGTGCTCTGACAGCTTTGAGTCTTGAGCTTTTTCTCGCTGCTACTTGGCAATCCTCACTCCTGAGCTAGTCCTGGCATGGCAGTCTCCCCACCAAAACCAGAAGGCTTAATTCTAGCTGGCTAGTCAGTGAGCTGCTGGAGAGAGTCCACCTTCAGCCCTGACTTTCCTGCCACAAGCTTCTCAACATGCAGACATCATATGTGCTTCCCTCCCTGCTTACAGGGGCTAGGGGAAGGGTGCTCCAAGGTCTGCAGGAACCTGCCATTGTGAATCTATTTTTGCCAGTGGAAATTTCCAAAGGAGACTGTCCTCAAACCATCTTTTTGTGGGTTTGGTGCTGGTGACTGCCTGGCAGCCAGGTCAGGCACCTGTGGCATTGCCAGACCTGCGTATTGTTTGGGAAGTGGTACAGGAATGGTCCCGATGACTCCCCAGGCTGGAGATACTCAGCTGTTGAACTGCCTGGATCCAGAGGGGTTGCTCTTCCACTTCTGCCTTTTCTGAACCAGCTGCAGGGCAGCATGTGCCTGGGGCTGGGGGAAGAGGCAGCAGCTACCTTGGAAGCACGAGGCACCGAGTACCAGAAGATAGGAGACTCAAAGGCAGCTTTAATGCATACCAGACCCGCAGCCTAGAGATGAAGTTTAAGTGTGTCAACGTTGGCGTTATGCGTGAGAAGCCGGCGGCAGTTATCTTCAGTCTCCGCAGCAAGAGCTAGCGCAGGCTGTCGCTGTGCTGCCTTGCCACTCTGGTGCCCTCCGAAATCTCTCAGCCGCCTTGCCTGGGGCCAAGGCACCGATTGCTGTGTGTGCTAACTGGCTTGGCTGGGCTCACTCCTCTCTAAAACGGTGCGTGAATCATTGCAGGGGAGCTGGGCACCCTTTCCCCCCTCTGTGCATCCCCCCTCCGCACATGTACGCTTCCAAAGATGCTGAGAATGATGCTCTCGTGCTCCCTGGGCTGACCCACTTCCCAGCCAGGATTGTGTTCCCGGCCCGTGACGTAAG